GAATGGGATGTTTTTCAGAAATTAAATTTTGACACCGCCCATGAGCAGCCAAAAATATGATGGCTTTTGCTGTCTGAATAATTCCACCTTAAAAAAGACTTGCAGGAAAACAGCTGGGGGAGGAGGCATGTGTATCCAAGAGGCAATGTATGCCAAAATACCAGCCTCTACTCTTTAAGACAGGGTCTCAAGTAGCACAGGCTAGCCTTGAACTGGCTATGAACATCTGATCTCCTTGCCCCTACCTCCCCAGGGCTGGGCTTAAAGGCACGTACCACCTCAGTTTTATGCAGCCCTGGGGATTGAACCCAGGGCATCCTGCTGGCCAGGCAAACACTTTATCCACCAAGACAAATCCCCAGCCCCAGGAGCTACTACTGTAGAATAATTTCCAGAAGGGGGAAGTCCAGATGACCTTTTGGACCTGGTGGTGGGGAGCACAGGAAGGTATGATGGTGTAAGGCTATGTATATAAATTAAAAAGCAGAAGGCGGGCAGTGGTGGCACACGCCTTTAACCCCAGCACTCAGGGGGCAGAGGTAGGTGGATCTTTTGAGTTTGAGGCCAGCCTGGTCTACGGAGCGAGTTCTGGGACACCCAAGGCTACACAGAGAAACCCTGCCTGGAAAGATAGGGAGGAGGGGGAGGAGAAGGGGAGGAGAGGGAAGGAGACGGGAGGAGAGAAATGGAGCTAGCTTTAGGATAGGAGGTGAAGGTACAAATTTACATGAACATTCCCAGAGATCTTAGAAATGCTGTGGAGAACTGAATTATGCTGAGGGACTAGCGAAAACACATGATTTTAAAAAAAGGACAGATGACAAATTTGGGGCAATCAGTCCAGTGAATTCTACTTGGGCAGCAGAAAAGCTTCTCAACTGAGTTGTTGGACAGACAGAAGTGACGGACAGCAGGTGACTGAGTCACTGCAAGCTGTAAGGGCTTGCTGATGGATCTGCAGTAAACACTTGGAGTGTGTGTGTGTGTGTGTGTGTGTGTGTGTGTGTGTGTGTGTGTGTTCCTGAGGAGGCCAGAAGGTCTCAGAGCTCCTGGAACCAGTGTTGTGAGAGTCTGCTCTACAGGGTGATAGGGACCAAACTCTAGTCTTCTGTAAGAGCTGCCAGTGCTCTTAGCCTCTGGTCCATCTCTCCAGCCCCTGGTCATCATCCTAAACCACTCTAGGGGTTTGCTGGACCTGGAAACGTGACTGTGGTGGTGTGTGACTGAAGAAATGACAGACAGACACAGAAGGGAAGCCAGGATGGGGTGGGCTGCGCTCACTACAATGCAACCGGAAACCGGGGAGTGTTTATTTTGTAGGGCACAAGGACTGGTCAGCGCGTCTCATGGGAGGTCTCTGTCGGAGAGCAGTCTTAGGCTACAAACAGCAGAGAAGAGGAAGCTGTGTCTCAAGGTGATACTATCTTGTGGCTTTCTGTTGTTACAGACGCGGGTTAATCCTTAGTAAACACTTGTACTTGCACCAGAGGAAGGCTGAGTCACAGCAAGTCATACCCGCAGTAAACACTTGGATCGTGTGTGTGTGTGTGTGTGTGTGTGTGTGTGTGTGTGTGTGTGTGCCTTTGCCATCCCTATAAGCCTCATCTGGGGAAGGCTTTGCCATTGCCATGGGTCTGAGGCATCAAGGTCCCTGACCCGGCTGTACCCACATCAACAACACGGGTTCCCTGGCTAGCGCAGTCCTCAGACTCTGGACCTCAGGTGCTTCTCGGCCCTGCTAGCCTTTGCGTCTCAAGTTTAAAGTAGAAAGCCGTTTTCTTTGGCCAGCAGGTGCTGGCCTCTTTCACAATAAACCCAGAAATGCCATCATTCAGGTTCTGCGAAACCGACATTAGCGATCTGAATTTCCAATGTGGCCAACCCACCTTTCTAGTCCTGCCTTTGTCATACCTGCCGACCTTCCCGGCCCAGACTCCACCCACAAGTTTCCAGCCTGGGCCTTTTTGCTCAATTGATTTTTCTCCTTCAGGAATGCTTGACATCTTCTTCTCCCTCCGCCTATGAAAACCCTACACATTTCCCAACACCCACATCGGGAGTTGCCTCCTCCCGGCTGGACTGATTTCCCTGTTTTGCTCCGTGGGTTGAGCCTGGGCGCCCAGGCTTGCTCTGTGCTCCCATCCTCCTTTCCCAGCCAACCAACCACTTGTCTGTTTTCCCCCCCTCCCTACTCCGCCTTCTCCCCCTCCCCTCCCTTCTTTTTGCACATAGATGTGTGTGTGTGTGTGTGTGTGTGTGTGTGTGTGTGTGTGTGTGTGTATGCCTTCCCATGTGTGTAAGTACAATTGTGTGTGTGCCTGTGCATTCAGAGGCCTGAGGTTTTACACTGGGTGTCTTCCTCGGTTGTTCTTCACTTTATTAACGGGGACAGGGTCTCTCATTGAAGCCAGAGCTTGCCAGCTTACCTCGCTAGCCAGCTTGCTCTGAGATCTTTGTCTCCAGCAGGCCACCGTACCTACCCAGCAGCTATATGGGTTTCTGGGGATCCAGATGCTAGGCAAAAGCTTTACCCACTGGGCCATTTCCCCACCCTGAGTCCCACTTCTTTTCAAGTAGGGTCTTTGAGCCTCTACCCTGTCCCCCTGGAGGACAGACCTATGCCACATGAGAAGGCTTCAGTCGACAATAGAGTTCATAGACGACATTGATCCTGAAGGTTATGCTACCTCGTGGCTTCTGGTTGTTTTAAGGGTTTGGGGTGTTTTGTTTTTGTTTTCTGAGACAGGCTCTCCCTGTGTAGCCCTGGCTGTTCTGGAATTCTGTTGACTAGGCTGGCCTTGAACTCATAGAGATCCACCTGCCCCTGCCTCCCAAGTGCTGGGATTGAAGGCGTGTACCACCACCGCCTGCTACGTGTTTTTTTTTTTTTTTTTTTTTGTTTGTTTGTTTTTTAAGATTTGTTTTTATGCTTATGCATTTGTGGGTTTGTGTACCTGAGTGTAGCCGCCTGCAGAAGCCACACATCAGGTCCCTTGGTGCTGGCCTTATCAGGTAGTTGTAAGCCACTGGATATGGGTGCTGAGAATCCAACTCCAGCCATCTCTCAGTATCTGTTTGTTTTGAAACATGGTCTCATTTTGTAGCTCAGATGGGGTGGAACTCACTATATAACTCAGGGTGGCATGGGACTGGCAGCAATCCCCTTGCCTCAGCTTCCTAATTACTGGCACAGAACACTCATCTGCTTTGCCTAGTGACTCTGTAGCCATATTCTGGGCAAGTATACTCTCGGATGTTTGCACAAGGACAAAATCACCTTGTGCCACATTTCTCAGAACATATGCCTGGCTTTAAAATATGCATGACTTCACTTTACAACAGAGGTTGGCAAGCTAAAGCCTGAGCATGACTGAAAAACCATGCTAAGAAGAAGAGGAAGAAGGAAAAGGAGAAGAAGAAAATGATCAAAAGGAGATTTTTTTTGTAGCACAGGGAAGGAATATAAAATTCAAATTTCAGTGCCTATAAGTAAATCTTTACAGAAACATCCACAGCCTATGTATGTTTTAGAAGAAATATGGGGGTCCAGAGAGCTTCATGATCTGCTCTCCCACCCATCTCAGAAATATCTGCTGATCCTACTTTATAATAAGTGTTGTGATGATTCAATCACTGCGTTGAGACACCGAGAATCTGAGCATACATCCTCCAGAATTGTTGTGTAATGGAAATAATAACCACCTTGGCCTGAAGTTGACATCAACATCAAATAAGAGCATACACTTAGGAATGTATGAAAACACCCTATAAATCCTATGATGTACCAAAAAGATAAGGTGGTAAAATGAGAAAATGGTATTTTCATTCATCCCTTCCTTTAAAGCTTTCATTTGAACGTCAAACTTTTAGGGAAAATTCACTTTTGAAGTTTTTGCTTTTATTCTAAAAATTATTATTTTATTTATTGGGGGGGGGAGGGGCTGTTGCATGTGCCATGGTTCCTGGGTGCAGGCCAGAGGATGACCTGTGAGAATTTGTCCTCTTCTTCCACCCTGGGAGCTCCGGGTTTGAACTCAGGTCATCAAGCCTGGAGGTAGGCACCTTTACCTGCTGAGCCAGCCATCTTGCTGGCTCAGTTTTTATTAATTTATTTTGAGACAGGGACTCACTATATAGTCTTGGCTGGCCTAGAACTTGCTATTTAAGACCCGACTTGGCCTCGAACTCTTAGAGATCCACCTGCTTCTGGAGAGCTGGGATTAAAGGCACGGGCTGCGGACTCAGGTTTTACTTTTAAATCATGATAGGGGCACACGTTTCCTCCCTCCCGACTTCGTTCTGTGTGAATCCACGTACAATTATATTTTCCCATTTTCTTTAGAGTCTTAACTGGCCCTTACAAATAGCTCAGGAAGGAACTGGGACACGTTCGCTTAATCCGTTCTGCACGCCAGGAAACTGAGGGAATTCTCGGCTGACTGCGGGACTCCGCGACCTTCCTCAGGAGGCCAGAACTTCTCAACGCCGGCCACTAAAACCAGACCCGCAGGACCCAGCTTTCCGCCCAGGATTCCTCCCTTGCTCCTCCGCACTCCTCTCGGGCCCTCCCTGGAGCAGGTGGTAGGATCCGCGCCCA